CACACACACACACTCTCACTCCCACCAGGTAAAGTGTTTGTCCACAGGTCGGCTCATTTGTAGACCGTCTGTAACCGTGGCCCAGCTGCGTGCTGCATTACAGCAGCATGTTCTCAGCAGCTTCTACTGTTCAAATAGCTTTTATAGCTCTCAGGAGTCCAATCCCAAAAACAATTAGTCATGTTTTTTCTGGATGACTTTAATGGGATTTGTTCTGTAATGAACAGTAGAGACAGGAGGGAGGCAGGGACACTGTTTTGTAGCATATCAGTAACTCTGGCTGTTGTTTTAATGCTTTTTTTAAATAAGTAGTTGTTCCACTTCCTAAAATTAGAGATAAATATCCACCTGAAATCTTTCAGTCTGTCTTGGTGAATGAATAATAGTTAGACAGTCATTAAAAAGCTACTTTTAATGACTTTTTCAACCATTTCTGTTACTTTTTGCTACTTTGACTATTTATCAATTACTTTTAGCTAACCATTTAGACTGCTCTGCTTGATTACCAACTAGTTTTCACGCACTCTCAATTGTAACAGTGTTCACCTCAAATATGTGTGTATATACATATATTTATTAAATAGTAATTTCTGTTTATTCTGATTAGTTGAGTTACTCCGTAATGTTTTCACTGCTCTAACGTTGGTTAGATTTCCTTCAGTACAGTCTGTGATTATTAAAATGTCTGGCTGTTGTTCCCTGGGGATTTAAAGGAGACTTGTAGTGTTTTTAATCCTCTATTAAAGGCTTTTACACATCAGGAGTAAACACTGACTTCCTAAGATCTGTAGGGAAATGACTTCACAAATACTGTCTACAAACTTGCCCTGCAGATGTTGTTTGAGCTCTGCTTTGAAGTAAAAGGTTAACTGAGTTGATTTGCAGCGATGTAGTTGTTAAACGTGGGAGGAGAACCACTCTGAAGGCAGACGAAGGTAACACTGTGTTTTTGTGTTTGTCATTAGTGTCGGAGGAGTGGACGCGATGAAGATCGAGGAGATGGAGAAAATGCTGAAGGAGGCGCAGCTGGAGAAAGCCAGACTTATTGAATCGCGGGTAAGACAGGTTGAAAAGAGAAGCAGTGTTACAGTGTGAGAACGTGATTATTCACAATCCATACCTAGAGACTGATGAGAGCTCTGCAGTGTTCCCTTCAATAGCTCTGAGCATGGATTTAAGAAATCAAGGGTCGGGACAGGACTGGAGGCTTTCATTCATTTTTATCGGCCTCCATGTTTCAAACGTCTCATCTCTTTGTGTGAAGAAGAAGAAGAAGCTCAGACTAAAATACAAAGAGCGATAAAGATGATCAAATCAGTGGCCTGGTCTGAAGTTTTTTCTCCCACATTCCTCTTGCTACTATAGTTCAGTTCTTCTTTAGTATATTTCACTACATGAATACAGCTCCTTTTTCTACTCTACCCAGAAACTGCTCCAGTCTACCATCATGTAGGCCATTCAGTATGCTCCTATTTCTTATTTTGGACTGACCGCATGCCCCAACGTCGCTGCAGTTTTATACCCAAATGATAAAACCAGCTCAAGTATAATACTCCTTTGAAAGCTAGCCAAGTTCCAGGTGAACAGATCTCTGGTAACACTGTTTAAAAATCTTTTACTGAGTCAGTTTTTTCATGTATTTGTTGGTTTGCTTTTCTCAACCTCAAACAGAAATACTCATTGTCAATAAGGTCTCAGCAGACAAAACTACCTGAACTGTACAACAAACGTGGTAAAGAAGGCAGAATCCGTCATGACAGTATGCACCCCCTGCATTCAGGATTTAAGCTACTGCCCTCTGGTTCATGCCTCACACAACCACTCACAGAAACTAACTGATATAAATTCTCTTTCATACCCATTTCTCTACTCTGTGAAATATGGTTAACATCAGCACGTCTTCAACCCTGCCCATTCTATCACTAATGCATACTTGACCTTGTACTCGTGTTTTTCTATGTGTAGTTATGTACTGGTGGCTCTTCCCTGTTATCAGTATGTCTCACCCTGTGTTGCTGTTGTTGTAGGACTATTTTTTATTGCTGCTGCGGTAAAATTAATTGCCCATCGGGGACAAAAAATGTGTTGGTTTATTTAGCCGGGACAGTGCACATAGATAAAACATTGCGGTAAAAGAGGCTATTTTACATCTGTAGTCCCTGAGCAGATGTTACAGCCACCCTAAACAAAATAAGATTGAAAGGTTATTAAGATCACTTTAAACATGCATAACAATAATGAAAGGAAAGGAAACTATGAATGTTAATAGAAGCATCATTCTGAACACCTTTATACTACATTGTCAGGTATTATTTAAAAAGTGCAACACAGAGGCTCATAATGCAGGCTGGCAGTAGCAAGAGAGCCACAGGTGACAACAGACAGCAAGGGAAGTTCAGCACAGACAGGCATAAGACAGTGACATGCAGACGAGTTTTCGTGCTGACAGAGCTGAGCGCTAATTTCTGTAAACAAGCTCTTAATATGCCCTTTGTGTCCAGTTCTATAATAGGAAGGAGTTCCATTGTAGTGCAACTTTAACAGAGAACACACACTGACTGAAATCACCTTTTCTGAGTCAGATCTCTTTTATGCTATCTGATTCACCACACAGAAGAAAAGAATGGATCTGAGTTGTGCTTGTTTGTGTAATTAACAAAGGAGTTACACATTAAAAAGTTTAAAGCTGCAGTGGGTCATTTTTATAAAAATAACTTTCTGTCATATTTGCTGAAACTTTCGCTATATCCTGACAGTAGTACATGAGATAGATAATCTGTGAAACAATCAGGTTCCTCTGGCTCCTCCTATTGCTCGAAAACACGAAAACAACCAGAGTGGATTCTTGCACATACTATTAGTATACTTACATACTAAAAGTAAAAAATACAAAATAATACAGGTGTATAATAAATGAGCAGATGTTTGTGTAACTGTTGAGTTTAAGGAGAAACAAAGACAGAATTGAAACACAGGTTTACTGTGCACCCTTCTTATTATTTGGACAGTGCATATAAATGCAAACTCAAATCACACTAATTAAAGTCGCCACAGAGCCATAAACTATGACGGACAGCTGATCGCTTCAGATGGCGGTTTTAATAATACAATTAAAACTCTTAATACACTTAATAACTCTCTCCCTGTGCCTTTAGTGGGAGGACAAGTTGTAAGGAAAAGACTGTAGTTAGGGAAATGCAGTTAAGAGAATTTGCATGTTCATCATAAAAAAGGTATTCTTCCCCCTCCTGCTTGCTTTCTTGGGTGTCTGCATGTCTGTATGAATGTGTTATATATTTAGACTCGTGCGTGTTGCCTCTCCAAACAGCTAAAAGCTTTCTGTTTAAAGAACCGATCGCTGCAGTGGAGCTGCACGGTGGCCAGCAGCTCTCAGCAGGCAAAACATGTACATAAATGTATGAATGTCAAGTTCTGTCTGGAAATAAAAAAAGAGCACGTGTTCTCTGCAAAGCCCTCGCACAGATCAAAAAAATATTTAATGAAAGCGCTCTCCTCCAGGAACGAGAGAGCCTGGCTCGCCGTCAGATGCTGGAGGAAGAGAGGAGGAGGAGGGAGGAGGCGGAGAAGAGACTGCAGGACGAAACCTTCCACCGGCAGCAGCTAGTGGAGAAGGAGGTCAAGATGAGGTCCAAGAACTTCTCTCAGGTCAGTAAAATGAGACGTAATTGAGTCTCCATGGTGGAAAAGTGGAAAATTACTCCACCTGTCTGTCAAGTGGCAGCCACTGGTTGGTAATAGTTTGTCCCAGCATTCAATATCATTAAACTTGACCCATTTTCAGACCATTTGAAGCCTGTATAAGAGACTTTACAGCATCACAGGACGCTAAACCTCTTCATGTACAAGACAAAGTTTGCAAAAATGAAACTGCTGTACTAGTCCGGTGTTTCTTTGCTCCGTCCAGGCCCGTCCAATGACTCGCTACCTGCCCATCCGGAAGGAGGAGTTCGACCTGCGCTCCCACGTGGAGTCGTCGGGCCACAGCGTGGACACCTGCTACCAAGTCATCCTCACAGAGAAGATGTGCAAGGGCTACCTGGTGAAGATGGGAGGCAAGATCAAGTCCTGGAAGAAACGCTGGTTCGTCTTCGACCGCCTCAAAAGGACCTTCTCCTACTACGTCGGTAAGAAACCGCAATATTTGGTATTGCAGGGTCTTTACTGTGATGCTCATTTGTCTTTTTGTTCATGTTTCCAAGCCAATATCTCAAGTTCACAAAAGTCTGGAAACATTTTCATCCCCCCGTATTTGCCTGATTATAAGGCGACCCCCCTCTTAACAGCTGGTTTTGGAAAACTTTTTGAAATACTTTTTGAAGACAAGAAACACTCTCTCATTGTTGATGCCTTTTCTCTTGTAAAAGACATGAAATACTCAGATGAAAGCAGCAGTGACGTGCTCACACCCTCCTCTGCCAGGCTCCTGGAGCGGTCAGACAGATTTCTTTCAGTTTGAGCTCTTCAGCCTGACACTCTATGACGCTGGAATTTGGGCTGACAGATTATTCGCTCTCTGGTCTGTTTCTACAGTTAAGTCATTTTTACCGGTCAGTAATTTATCTCATCAGTGGCAACAAAACATATTAGACAGCCTTACTGTACACAGACTCCTACGTTAAAGCTGCAAACAACCCATAATGCAACGCTCTTTAGGAACCGATTAAAGAATACAGAAATGTCCAGTCCTCAAATATAATACAATCCCACTTTTTCTAGCTCAGTTTCAAGGAAGAAATATGTTTGAAAGCTCACAAACCTTTAAATGGCTCCTCTACTTTGTTACTGAGGCTTTTTGTCTGTTATTAAAAAAAAAAAAAAAGAATTCCATGATATACTGCCACAATCTTAAATCTAAAATACTGTGATACAAATTCCTGGTCATACTGCCCAGCACTACTCTGTTCCAAGTAAAAGTCTCACATGTTAGTGAGAATGTCACATCAATGGAAGGTATAGTGCATTATCAGCAAAATGTACTTAAAGTAATCATAAAGCAGAAAAATGGCTCCTGTGAGTGTTGTAAATATTATATATTACAGGATATTATTGGATTGTTAATGTGTGAATTTGAACACTTTACACACTGTTGGGTAGTTATTTTATATGCTCATGTTGCTTTTATAAAATCTTACGATGTAACATAACTAGTAACCCAAACTGTCAGACAAATATAGTGGAGTAGAAGTACAAAGTAACATGAAATGGAAACATTCTACTGAAAGTACTGTAAGTTTCTATATACATACAAGTAAATGTTGGACTGCCTTTGATTGCAAGGTGTTCCCGTTAATTTGTCCATGATGTGTGTTTGTGTGGGAAACCCTGGCCGGGTTTATTTTTGTGCCACGCAGTCAGAGACATTACAGCAGCTATATGAAGTGCCAGAGGCTGCAGTTGTAAAATGGTGAAGCAGCTGCAATAAGCTTAAACATTTCACATGTAAAATGGCAGAAATGTCCCGCTGTGGGTGAGTGGCAGACAGAACATGCGTCCTAAGGACCTTGAGCAGCAGCACATGAAGCATGTGGCGTGCGCGGTGGTGTAATTTGACAGTGCGCTGTGAGCTCTGGGACACTTGTTCGCTGTCAGGCCTTTGAAGTCCTCAGAAGGTTCTGCTTAAAGCTGCTTAAAGCGTACCTTGTTGAAAGTGAGCCAGGGTGAGGAGGTGTACTGAGATTACTTTGGCGGTAGTTAAAATGCACACAGCGCCGCTCTCTCTTGAGGAGGCTGATTGAGATGCATCGCCCTTGTCTCTTGACCTTGGAACAGCGAGCAGTGACGAGCGCAAGTCACAGGCGCCGCTAATTCTCGTTAATCAGCCTCAACCACAGGTTTGGTAATTTAGATGCAGTCAAATGAGATGCAAATGCCGGGCTATTTGAATGCTAAAGAGGTCATTAGCAGATAATAGCGGCGTGTTAAAAGGAAAGTGTTATTCCTCGAAATGAAGCGCTGCTGCGTCTCTACCTACTACTCTTAAGTTGGCTTGTGGAGTGTTTGTGCCTGGAGGTAGAGAGGGGTGTTGAGTTCCCCACCGGTTCCTTACTGCAGTTCTGCAGTGGCTGATGAAACAAACTGCAATGATGTACCAGAGTAGCGTAAGAATGCAGTCAAGTGTGAAAATACAATGAGAGCCCCGTCGGTTTAAAAACACAGAAAAAGTGCTGTGGTTGTCTTTTTCCATCCATCATCACAAACCATAAATTGGCCATGATCAAAGTTTGATTTCTTCTTCTTTTTTTTTTTAATGACCGTGCCGTGTGTTCTCCCTGTCCGTATCCTAGGTGACATGGAAGTGATGTGCCTCGGCTTTTCTAAGCCAAGAGAAGTCTGTCGCTGTCAATATGTTTTAGTCTTTCAAACAAACCCACGTTGTTTTTCCTTCCCACAGACAAACATGAGACCAAGCTGAAGGGTGTGATCTACTTCCAGGCAATAGAAGAGGTCTATTATGATCACCTCCGCAGTGCCACAAAGGTATGCTGTTTTCTCTCATCCGTTTCACACTCTGTTTATTTCCACCTTACGTTCTCTTTGGTTTCAAACATTTTGCACACTCTCTGCTTTGCTTCTTTTCTCCCCGTTTTGCTTTTGCTTTGGCCGGCTGCTGTCACAGAAGGGATTTTTCAACTTGAATATGACCAGTGTATGTATCCACGCTTTCTGTTCGCCCATCCCACCCCACTGAACCTGTGTGTCCAAACCATACACTGTGTGTTGTGATAGAGAGTAGGACATGAGCTCGACGGCTGATGATGCATGAGTCCTGTTTGTAAATGGAATCCTATAATCCTGCTTGATCCCTCCGTCCATCCCAGTGTTCCCAGTGTAAAGCAGTCAACTGGTTAGAAAACGAGAACCTTCTTATTTACATGTCTTTATTAGGGCTGATGTGTTTTTTTCAGCACCAATGCAGATTCTGGTTATTAATAATGAGGGAAACTGATAAACAAGCGGGCTGTGTATTGGCAAGAGTCTGGTGATATGATATGTATCAGTCGGCCGATATTGGCTTTTCACAGACATATCGGTATCGTATCGGTATCTGCCTGTATGTCATCAGATATGTTTCTAATATATATAAGAAACATATATATAATATATATAATGCTAACAAGCTCATAGTTCTTACAGTGCTAGTATTTAGCTGTTTATTTTATTTGTATTTATTCTTCATTATCTCGACAATGTAGCCTGTATGTTAAATTATTTAACATGTTAAATATAATTTAGCTTAAATATTCTTAAATATGATTTTTAGTCGTTCTGTGGCTCTACAGAAGTACGACCCCATTTGATCTCTCTGCTCAGGAGGTGGCATTCTTCCTCAGAGCCGTAGGTGTCGTTTTTGGACCTATTTCTGTTCTATATGATCCGGGCTGCCTGACTTGAGCCTCACACGTCTTGTCATTTGTTTTATTTTTATCTCCAACATAAAGCTGAGCTGCTGCTGCCTCCTCATCTTCAGTGTGTTTGTGTTTGATGGCCTGTCGCAGTGCACCGCACTCTGACTAACTGTGTGGCTCTGATCAACTCTGGAACTTTGATTTTACTTGTCAGTTCTAATGTCACATTACAGAGGGGAACTTTAAAGGCTGCTGCACTTAGCAAAGACAGAAAGATGATGGTTGGAAAAAGGGAGAAATCTATTGTACTTCAGTCAGGTTGCTCTTCCAAAGACATAACAACATCAAAGTTTATTTTTTCATTACTTTTCTGTATGAATTGTTGATTTCATGAAATCTGGTTAAACCAACTCAATAACAGTAGCAGTATTTCTGGATTAGTGGTCCAGAGGGACGGCATTCTGTGCTGAATTCAGATCTCTTTCTATTTCTTATTTCTTATCATTCTTTCTTAAATCTCATATATTTCCATTAAAATGTAAGTCTCACAGCTAAGCAGCTGTTCTTTCTAAAACAATCCAGGTGATCTATAAAAAAAACTTAGTTGTCATTTACCAGCACTGTTGTAAAAGGTATCTGTAAGTATTTTCAGAATGCACAAAGATTCTAACAATCTTTAACCATTTTTAAATGGAAAAATATATAATAATATAAAATCTAAAATAATAAAAAGGAACGTTGATGTATGTTGAAACTTAATTCTTGATCTGGGACACAAAGATGCATTTAATTGACAGTAAAACATTTTGGTTCCCATTGGACAAACTGAGCAAATAAGTGTCATTTCTAGCTCCTGTTCTTGTTTGAAACAGAGTTTCAACTTAGTAAAAGGTTAGTCCCAAAGTGCTTCTGATTATCTCCATGGAACTGAGCGGAAGTGCAGAGTTGGTTGAATGATGGTGTGTTACAATGAGCCACTGGAGAGGGGCTTAAGAGCCACAGGTCACCTGCCCCTGCATTAGAGGCACAAACTAGGGCTAGGGCAGAAAAGCATTTAGTTCATTGGAAACTAACACACATGCAGGCTGGTACTGCAGTTGTTAAACATTAATGCAGAACTGTGTGGACTCAAAATGTCTCATTAGAGTCAGTTAAATGGAAAGCCTCCCCATTGATAACGAGTGTAGTTCTGTAAGTAGTACACTAAATGAATCTGACCTATATTATACTTCAGTAACTCCATACCTGATGGAGTACGGAACAACGAGAAAGCAGCAGGGAGGAGATGTGGTCTCGAACGTGGGAGTGGGACACGGAGTTCAAGTTTTCTCTTTGTTTTTCTGTCTCCCAGAGCCCGAACCCCTCCCTGACCTTCTGCGTAAAGACCCACGACCGGCTCTACTACATGGTGGCCCCCTCAGCAGAGGCCATGAGGATCTGGATGGACGTGATCGTCACAGGAGCAGAGGGATACACACAGTTCATGAACTGAGAGACGCGTGCAGCAAAGGTGACGAGCAGATAGTTTCGGCAGGGACTCTCCCATCACAGACTCTACAGCCCCCCCCCAACCCATCCGTTTCCAGTCCACCGCGGACACAACGCCTTGTTTGTTACTTTTCATTTTTAATCTCACATTATGATTTTTACTATGTAGACGTTTCACCTCCACATTTTCTATGTGATTTCTGTTCTGAAAAAGGGAGCCCTCGGAGGACACACACATTTACACACATCTGTATATAAACCAAAATGTATACCTGTCAAAGACTTTTAAAAAGCCTTTCTATATTGCCAAATGGAGATCTTGTAGTTACTGTTTGTTGAACATTTTGTATTATTTGTTTCCTTTCTTTCTTCTTTTTTTTTTTACTTCTAGAGAAAATTGCCAAATGACATAATGCCAATGTTTTATTTTGAGTGTTCCATCATGACTATGCTCAGTTTAGACAGAAAGCATCTCCAATCAAAGGGTGTAATCAATTTAGGAATATATTTGAAAGAATCACATTTAAAATGTCTGAATCCATGAGAAATAATAAATCAGTCAACAGGGACCGGAGGTGATCTAAGAGTCCAGCACACTTGACTGTAAGAGTGACACAGTAAAACAGAGCATCCTCCACAAGCTGCTCTTAGACTAAAGACTAATACTAAATGCAGCATCTTCAGCACATTACGCCATCCAGAGCTTCATCCCAGTCACATTACTTCACATATTCTTACCAAAGTAACTGGAGGTACTTTGACCCACTAAGCTCAGGAGTTCACGCTGCAGTTCTCACTATGGTTCGACTAATATGGGGTAAGGCTGGTACTGACATTAGCATTAAAGCTGCTAATGAACAGTGTTTGGTGCAGAATTCATTATATATAAAATATTAATAAAAAGTGCTCTGAACCCAGAATAACTGTCATGTCTGTATGCTGAATATGAAGCAACAGGCATTTAGCTTAGCATAAAGACTAGAAGGGAAACAGCTAGTCTGGCTCTGTCCAAAGGTAAAAACAATTAGCTAATATGTTGTATCTCATTTGTTTGATGCAGACAAAACAATCATGTAAATACACTTCATTTGTCACTTCTTTGACAATTGTGGAGCTAAGCTAGGCTGAACAAGCTAAGCTACATGCCTTTAAGAATATCCCCACATTTTAATACAATTTACGATGAAATAAAAAAGGAGCCAATCCATCATTTTAGCTGGATGTTAGCCAACACCCAGACAGCCTGTATATTGGTCTAACCATAGCTGCCACATTCTCAGTGTACTATATGTGATGAACAGGAGTATTTCACTGTGTCTGTCTGATGCCGACATGTTGCCAACTCAAGGTGCAAACAGAATATCTACGTGCACACTGTAAACAGATAAAGCTCTATTTGCCAAGTAGCCTTCAGCTAACTTGATGATGCGACTACACAGCTGGGAAGCAGCCATCATCACTGCCAGCCTAAAGCAAAACCACCGGAGGGCGCTACAGAGACCACACCGCCACAGGACCAGGACAGGATGAAAAATACGGACTAATGCAATTCTGAACTGTGCCTTGACTATGTGTTGTTATTGATGCCGTGAGTCCAGCACAGCCTCGCTGGAAGGCTACAATTGTATGAATGCATTTTAGTTTGTGTTTCTGGACTGTGATGCAGTACGTGGACAGGTTGGCATGAGGTCTGTACACCGTTACGGGGACGTCTGATGGGTACAGGCAGAGATACCGAAGGCCCGGAGCACAGTGGGGATCAGTTAGCTCACTGTTATAATTTAAACTCAATGTACAACATATTAAGTAGATTCATTTATATTATTAAAGGAACACTCAGTTTTCAGTCATCATCATGGGGAACTAATCAGTCTGGAGGAGCTGTGTCGGGTCTGAGAAAATAACCCTGATGATGTCATCAGTGTCTTCAATTTGACCATTTTTTAAAATCTCTTTAGCAAGTTCCTCTTTCTTTGCTGGAGTGCTCCTTTAAATCCTAACCAATCAGAGATGCAGATGCTTGTTCTGTAAGCATATTAAACAGTTTAACAACTTTTGTTAATTTTAATGATTATTATAAGAGTTTCATAACCTTTCCTATGTCCTTGCCCTTTTGGTGCAAGCTCTGCTTCATTAGTTTCCTCTGTAGAAAAACTCTAGCTAACTAGCTAGCTAATTTACATCAATTGTTAGTTAGCTAGTTACGTCTGAAAGCCAATGATAGCAAAAGGCTTGCTAAATAGCTAGCTAACATTTTGCTAACACAACTTTTCAACATAAATGAAGCTAGCACATAGCGAAGTAGAGAAAAGGGGCGGGACTTATGAATCCCCACTGTGAGCTGAGGTCTGCATGCATGAGGATGGATATTGAAACCTGGTATCTTCAGCTTTAACAGACTGTAAATGACCGGGCTCGCCTGGCGTCTCCGTGTTGATCATCACGTTGTGAATCTGTTGATCGGCCATGAACGTGTTTGTAGTTAACGGACGTTGTTTTCTGTTTTGTAGAGGCAGAGGACAAACTAGGCTGTGATTATTTGGAGCATGTGGAACTGTTGTTTAGTTTCATGTGTCGGTACAGTAATAATAATTTATGGTTGTGGTGCCTGAGATAGTGACACGTTTACTGAAAAAAACAAAAAAAAAGACTAGTGAAAAGACCTTAATATATTCTGTCCCCCTTGCCTTTATCTTCCCTGCACAGTTAACGTGTGCAAACCAAACTATTCAACACTGGCAAGGCTGTTAAATCATGTCTGTTGATAGTAGGTGGTATATACATTACTGTTGTAATCTATGTTGAAAAGAAAGGAAACTAAATATACTGTAAAGAGGATGCCTGAATGAAAAAAATATCTTACTATTGAAATGAAACAGTATTGTATGGAAAGAAGTACAATTTTTACTTATTTTTGTCATTTTAGAAACTTTATTGTCAGTCAGTTACATTTCAAATTGTATGGTAGTGATGTATCAATCTACCTTTTTTTTTTTTTTTACTGGTACAGCAGAACACACACACACCTGCACACACACACACACAGACACGTGCAGAATAACTCACCTAGCACTCATGAGACTGTACTTTTTGTTTTTCTAGAAAGTAGATCCTGTTTCACACACACACACACACACACACACACACAATCAATACTCGGACCATACTGTGTTATTGGTACCCTGTATGTCTCATGCGTTACTTTCACGTATGAATAATATGGATTTTGTCAAATCTATTAAAAACAAAACTGTTACAGAATATCGGCTGCTTTTCTTGAGCTCTGCGGGTTACGATGTGAAGGTTCCAGTGTTGAGGAGGAGAGAGACAGCAGTGACTACTGTGTGGATTCTCACGCTGACTGATTCATGGTTTGATACTAACAGTCGTGGGAGGACGAGCCTACCATGGAACAGCAACAATCAAAGAAAACTCAAAAAATCTTCCTAAAATTACACAAAAAGTGGGATTCACTCACAATAAAACACAGCTAAAAAAGTTTAAAAAGGAGTAAAAAAAAATTAAAGAAACAGTCTAAAGAAAAAAAAATAAACATCTAGAAGTTTCTTTCTCTGACGCAGTGATTCTTCCAACTGAAAGAAGTCCCGGCGTGGCTTTCCGCAGGATTTCCACGAGGGTTTTACAGCTCGTTGATGGTGTCACCTGGAGAGGAAACGCATTGTTAACAACAGCACAGTTGCATTTACATTCAGTGTTTGACCAGTTTGAAGAAAAATAACAGTCAAATGGATTTTGTTTTTACACTGCATTTAAATTTAATAGCACTTGATGGAAAATGGGACACTTGTTGGTAACCACTGGACCAAGTGAGTTTTGGAAAACTAATTATTTGACAATCTTTGTTTCCTTGAGTAGACTGGATTACAATTAAGTCAGTGAGTGGTGCCTCCTGTGCCTGTGGTACTTTACGTCACCATTTACCAATTGCTTTAACCCTGTTTTCACAGCAGTGCCTAATAATCGAAGCTCTTATTACCCTACATTCTTTAACTGCAGGCAAAAACATTTTCATGAACTCGCCAATTTGGGGTTTTTGGCCTAGCTTTCTTCCTTTAGACCACTGCTTCCAAACCTGCGGGTCGTGACTCCCACTAGGGGTCGCCAGAGCTTCATGGGTGGTTGCAAGGCCTTCTTGATTTTAAGGGGCTGTAAGAAAACTTGCATTATGCAGTAGGCCTATATCTCAGAATTTGTAATCTTGTAAATGCCATTAGGAGCACTAGGAGGATTCAGAGGAACCAGATTTTTTTTTTTTTTTTACAGATTATCTGTCTCATGTTTACTGTAGGGATATAGTATTTCAGCAAATATGACAAAATGTAAAAGATTATTTTATAAAAGTTACCTACTGCAGTTTTAAAACGAACCAACAACACTGAGTGACAGTTAAGTTGATGTTTTCACTGTCCTTTCTGGTTCAGACATAATATGGTACTGAAACACTGATGTGATGACTAGTTGTGTTACTATATATGTATCAAATATATGGTACTTACTCTCTGCACAGGGGGAAGTGTAGTCAGTGACAGCCTCATCACCTGAAAACATTCAACATACAACCTTTAGGTAAAGAAAACACGGCCTCACACACAGAAAGTAAAAAGAAGAAGGGTTCTTACTTGTCTGGTAGTAGTCATAGATCTTGACCACGGCTGGTTTCAGGTTCCTGACCGGCTGATCCTCCTCCACTGTCACACTGTAGATCTTCGTCTCATCCTTTTTCAGCTGCAAGCACAAACACTGAACTTTACTCCCATACACAGAAAACATTCACTAGCTGTTAGGAACATTATTTCACCAAACACACAGTCAGGGTTCCCACTCTTTAACTAATCATTTTTAAGGACCTTTTCAGGACCTTTTCCTGGAGTTTTTCTTGACAATACAGGACGGCACTTACTTAAGTAGAATTTATATTATTATACAGAAAATTCATCTTCTAGAAAGTTAAAGTGTTCATTGCATGTACAATTTACTTTCTCTTGCAAAAATAGACTGAAAGATTGCTGAAAAAATACTAACATTTCAAGGACAACATGGAGTATTTCCAGGATATTGGGTAATTTTAATCAATTTCCAGGCGTTTGCATGACTGGAAAACCAGTTTCTAAATTTCTAGCTTTTCCAGGATGTGTGGGAACCCTGACAGTCACTCTGTCGGTGCTTCCTACCCCGTCTAAGTAGATGTTGATGAATCCTTCTTCCACGTCCACGCGCTTCACTGAGCGGTCACTCTTCAGCTACGAAAGCACACACTGCCATCAGTATACTCATGATAAACGTATATTATAATTCAGAGCTGCAGTCTGGTAGTATCAGCACAAACAGTATATGAGAGTAGGGTTGCAGCTAACCATTACTTTCATTATCGAAATGAATTGATTAAGCTATAAAATGTCCATCCAAAGTGTCTGTAGATGTCTTGTCAGTCCAAAGCCCGAAGATAATCAGCTTAATGTGACATTAAACAGATAATCTCTGTATTTGAGAAGCTGAGAACAGCATTTTCTGCCATTTTTGCATGAAAAATGACTTTAAGGATGAATCAGTTATCAAAATATTTGGTGATTATCTGTTGTTTCTTTCTATCAACTAATCAATTAGTGGACTGATCGTTGCAGCTCTGTGTGAGACAGTGAGACAGTGAGTTAGTGCCCGTCTGTTCAGCTGCTGAACAACTGACCAGCTTCAGGGAGCTCTTATCCAGAATGTATCCAGACAGCAGCTTGATGTTGATGATGACCATGTTTGTCTCCTCTCTCCTGCCCTGGTACCTGCGCACACATATAGACATGTATAACATATACAACATAACATATACCATATCATAGTGTCCCCACCAGAAAATCCTTCATTATTCATCATTATAATTCAAAAAGAAACAAACATTTAGAGATTTTGGGGCTATTTTCAGTCTTCTTTTAGATGAGTCAGGGGGAAAAATGACCAAAATGCACATTTAACTGTTTATTTTACTACACATTGTTTATTTGCATTAGTTAATGCCCCATGTGCATATTTCAACATTTCAGAAAACTTGTAGTACAAAAGATTATTGTCTTAAAGTAATCTGAAAAAGTCTGTAATAATGAGTGTAGTTACAAATGTACCATCACTAAAGGTCTGTAAGATGGGTTATGTGAAGGTCATCTCAAAGGTCAGAGCCATTATTTCAGGCCAGCAGGTTTCAGTTTATTTTCCGCTCATAATTAAACAGCCCCCATATTGTTAATGCAGCTACTGTTTGTTCTGTGTTATATTATTTATGTGTGTTTATCTGTGTTTTATTATGGCAATATTTGCTGATGTAACTGGGAGAAGTTTCTATATCCAGTGAAAGTCTCCACTCAAGTCCACAATCACTGTTAACACAAACTAAAGTTGGATACAGTAATGGAGTTAAAAACAAATTATTCACGCCATTCCTACAAAACAATGTAACCAATCATCATTCAACACACACACACACACACACACACACAGACAGAGTACCTGACATGCACGAAGAGGATGAGCTGAGGCCTGCTGGTGTTGCATTTGGCCATGGTGTTGGTGGAGATGTTGAAGGCAGAGAAGTCGGGGGGAGGGGGGACGTTGTAATGCATGGAGATCTGTGGAGGGACAACATCAACACACGTGTTAGAGAGACACGGTAACAGTGAGGACGGATACGTTATCTGCCAATAACGGGACATTCAGACAATAATTATTGGTTGATATTGTTATGCTAAATGATTGACAGGCTCCAACTGTACTAGACAAAATAAATGAGACATCTGACGAGTCAGAACTGTTGTTTGTTGTTGTCGTAAACAACAGCAATGTCAGTTAGATTTGGTTACAACAGAGTTATGGAATATTAAATCATCCGTCTTTGCTCACTATGTCTCAGACTTTGTTGCCCTCGGGAGTGTAAAAACTGACGGTTATGAACTTATCTTTAAAAATACTAAAATGTGAAATTATCTGTTATCTTATCGGTATCGGCCATGAGAAGCAGGTAATTATCAGTTGAACCGTGCATCCCTAATATTTGCCCTACAGGCATCAGAGTGGTTTCAGTATTCTCATATGACTCTCAGCAAGAAACAAAAAAGCTTCCAGAAGGCCAGTAAAAGGATGCTGCAGCCGAGGTGATACTACAGAATGTGAGGCAGGGTTAAAGAGAGGAACACTAGGTTAAACGATATGATATAAAAGTATGAGTGACTACCAGCTGTCTAATCTCAGTGTGATTCCCAGAAGTGAAATAGCTTTCTGAAACCCCTCCCGTGTTTCTGGCCACTGATTAACTGCTGCTTGATACAGTAGATTAGTTAGTTTGTTCTGCATTGTACCTCCGGAGCTGCCAGCACCAATCTTGACATTTACTGTCAGTGAGTTGTAAACCATTCTGAGAAATGTGGCACTTTTAATCAAAGCAGCTGTTTACAGCGGCGAGTCAGCTGAATTATCAGTTGTTAGCAGGAGAGATAGCTGGAGCAAAGTAACCAGACGTTTGCAACCTCAGTTTGAAAAGAGCGATATACATGAGGATTTACTTTACTGTGTTTAAAAGGATAGCAGAGATAAAGAGAGAGAGAGAGAGATAGAGATTTCTTCATGTGGAGGTGAGAGTCAGATGTTGTCGTGGCAGTGAAAAGGAGGCGATTGGGAGTCAGAGAGCAGGAACCAGTCACGCTTGGTCAGCCATGAAGAAGGAA